CGGTCGCTTCGCCATTTTGGCGGATTCAGGTGGCCGCTTACTCGTTTGCCACCTTATGTTATAAAAAATAAAATATTGGAATGTAGGAAAGCTGGAAAGTTAGAGTACGTGCGTAATAAATACGAGGAATGGTAAAAGTTTAGGGATGGCAACATCGCCGTGGTTAAGATTAACTAACCAATAATATTGTACTTTGGGCAAAAGCAGAAAAGAGTTCCCGAAAAGCATCAAATTTGAACATTCCAACAACTTTCTTTTAGTCTTTTCCTTCATCACGATCGACCTTAATTCCTTTATCCTTGATATCGCTTTTCAAACTTGGTTAAATTAAAAATGAAAATTTTACTTACCCAACATAAATTAGAAAATTAAAACCATATATCAAATAAAATACATCGAAAAAATCTTTAAAATGTCTAAAAAAATCAATATTCCTTTATAAAATAAACATATTTATCAAAAAGGGTAATTTCACTGAAAATCTGTCAAAATCTTCTGTTACAAATTGTCACAACAAAGAAGACAGTTTTAAAAGGCGTTTTATCGAAAAAGAATAGAATTTAATTGCAACTCTTTGCTCGTTGCGGGTAGATAAGAAGCTTACCATCGACCGGGTGGCCATTCCCCTTTAATCACACTAATTTCGCTTCAAAAAATTAATTAAGAAAAAATGTAATATGTCATAAATATCTGTCGTGAAGTATAATATAATTAAATAAACTGTGTTATATATCTCTGCTTTCAATATTTTAATTATATTACAAACACCAACCAATTTTCATTGAGTCATTTCTTTGTTATAATCTTCAATGTTCGATCATGACACAAACGTGTCTATTGTGTAGCTATATGTGAAGACTAACTCGCCAAAATTATACATTCAAAGTTATGAATCCTTCATATTGAATAATAATCCTTGATATTTGTCTATAATACGTAGACTAGACCATTGAAATTGTTATCGTAAAGCTAACATTAAATCTTTATATTCTATTCACACAACCTTATTGTACAGTCTGCGACATTTACTTCCAAACCGATAGATTTCGTTCGAACGTTCTCTTTCCATATTTGGCTTGGCTTTTATTATGGACTAGCTTTCGCCCGCAAGGAAATAAAAACGACAGTAAGTAGCCTATGTGTTCTCCAGATTACTCTACACCTACCCAAATTTTATCCAGAACCGTTCATCATTTAAAACTACAATATCTAACAAACTAAACTTTGGCATTTATATTATTAGTAAGATTGGCTTGTAAAAGTGGACAAACTCAAGTCTCATGATCAGGTAATTTATTTCAGTTCAACGGAATATTTCTATTTTCCTTTAGTTGGATATTTCAAAGGGGAATATACGAAGAGTGAAACATTTGATGCCATGAAATGATAAGTCACGAGAATATACAATAATTCTGTTATTTCAAACACAAACTATAAATCGTTAAAAGGATTCTTTTTATTGCAAAATTTAATTAGTATATTGATTTTTGTAATCTGTACTATTATATTAAGCGTAAACACACATTCTTTTGTTGCTTAAGATGTCTTAATTTACAGCATGTTTTTAAATAATTCCTTTTTTAATAAAACGCCCTACATTTACGTTACGCTTTAGGCTATATATTTTCACGCTATTAAACTTAGGGGGCAAATATTTTGGATAAAAACCCTAATGTGGGAAAGACACCATAAGTTGCTGCCAACATCAAGGAACATCAAGGTTGCCATGGTTTGTCATCGTCATGTCATTTTGACATTTGCAATTGATAATTTGACACATGTAAACAATAAAATAAAATTTTCATAATTTCACGCACGGGAACAGCCAGTTAGTAAAATAAAACTAGAATAACTGATCAATTTTTTATTATGAAATACAATAATTTATATGACAGGATATTTACAACGTTTGATACACGTTTCATTTACGTACTAGCGTTACAACTATTGTATATGTCAACAATATCTAAGCTGCAATATACTATACTCGGAAAAAGGCTTTATTTTCATTTACTTCAATACAATGCATGCAACTAATTGAAATGTAGATTAAAACATAATTTAAACAAAAGTTAAACATTTTTTCGTATGGTCAAAATGACCAAAGCTTAAAAATTGCCAGTTAAAGGTAAAATAGTAGGTAATAATATTTAAAGGGTTTACATAATACTTAATTAGAAAATTATTAAATATATAATACAATGTTGAAATTAAAACGCACGTGTCATATTTTTAGATTTAAATACAGTACCGATGTTGGTTCTTAACGATTTTAAAATGTTGCCATCCCTTTAATTTTCCTCGAAAAGACAAGAAACAATAAAATAATTTTCTTTATTTCAACAGTGAAAGCTGCCGGTTTTATTACTATCTTAACTCAAGAAAAACCAATGTTAAAAATATTAAATTGAAATATTTTTTATATAAAATACATTTTTTGTATAACGTAATTTCTTTCCAATTCATTATTTAGTAATTTGTAAATACATTAATTACGGTATTGCTAGATTAAATTAACAAAAATCATAATACGAAATAGCTTGAGAATAATAAATGCTTAAATATTGCATATAAATATTTGCTTTTAAAATACTGTATACGAGATATTAATACATAAAAAGTGTACTTAACAATACTTCAAACACAAAGACTGATTATTTTAAAACCGATTACCTTCAGTTTTAAATGAACAGACGGACTGTCCAGTTTAATCTTTTAAAAAAGTACAGTTTAACTGACAGTATACATTTTGTCTACATAACTTTTAACTGGACAGTCCTTCTGAGTTAAAACTCAATGTGTAATGGGTTTACAAATGATAATGATAAAAATGTGTTTTTGCTCTAACATCCAAATGTGAAAAAAACTCAAGTTTAGATTTTTTTTTAAAAAACACGCTTTAAATGTCTATGTTGAATTTAGTATGGATAAAGATATAATTATAATTTATTTGATTGTATCCAATTTTAGTTGATAATCGTCAAAATGTTTTAATGAACAATTTTCAAATAATCGAATTCAACAATCCCAAACAAGTTTGAATTTAGTTTGAGCTTATATTCAAATATGGTATTCAATGATTTAGATACATAAAAGAAATTGCTTTTTTAAATGAGCAAAAATACAATGAGGTAGTTTAAAGAACAAAGGAATGATTGTAAAATTGACATTCTTAATAATGGCCATCGACGACACCATAATTAAAAATAAAAAATTCAAAAACTAACTTTTTACTCTGTGAAACAATTTTTGTTGAACATAAGTTATTTTTTAATAATTTAATTTTACCTCAAAGAAAAGAAAAATATCAAATTTATAAGTCATATTAAATATCTTATTGCATACAAAATTGCTTGTATTGTCAATATTACTAACATAAAAAACACATAAAAAGGACAAAAATAAACAATACAAAGACATTAATGAGATTTTGTAACATGCAAAAATTTATAAGAAAAAAGAAATTAAAAACAAAGAAATTAAAATAATACATTAAAAGCAGGAATATTTTAGCGCACGACGCAATAAAAAAGCATTGCAATGAAATCTATCTCTTTCTATCAGTACCAACTTTTCACAAGACAAAGTGAATTGAAAATTTATGGTATTTAAACCTATTATCACGCACACGCTTTTTTCAGCAATATTTTATAATTCATAGACAATTTTTTTAATAACAAAAGCAAAGAATATGAGCCGTAGTACTATAGCAATAAAATACAATATTATTTGACACAAAGAGGTTAATAAAATTAAGGGAACACTGGTTAGAAAACAATGTGAGTCTAAGGACCTGTCCCACCAAATTGTCTGATAACAATCCAAAGTGTAAAATATGTGATGGAAATATCGGATTCTGTTATTTTATCTGACAGTGACGTCATTTTTAAGCTGAGCCACTATCAGCCAGTGGTAGGACAGGCCCCAACAGTTAAAAACCATGAGTGCAAAATAAACAGGGCTATGAAAATATAAAATTGCGTAGAAAAGAAAATAGAATAAATCAAAGTTAATTTCAATGTTTTGGCACAGATTAGTTGGTTTATATTTTAAAAATTGTGATAAAATATCGAACACGTTAAAACGCCAATCTAATCAACAAACATCTGCATTCGAAACCTGGTCAAGATAATAAGAACTATGTAAGGAAAATATTTTTAGTACTGGCAACACTATTTTAGTAACTTTTTTTACCAGTCTAAGGACATGATGATGAGATTCTCAACAGAAATGTACATAATTGTTATGCCCGACCAGAAATGTAAAAAGCCTACTCAAATTGCGGAATAACATGTAACCAACTTCATGTGTGCAACAATAATAGATAATAAAGCGATTGAAATGCTCTTAGGCTAGAATTTTAAGATTCCTGGTTAGGTTATAACGTGAAAATGTATTGGCACGTATCCTTTGTTTTGTCAAATTATAACAACTATACTAATATTAAAAAGATTTTTGTATGTTTTAAAATAACTCAAAAACTATTGGACTGATTTTAAAATTCTTGCACAATTAAAAGGCTACACTGAGTAACATAGGCTATATTATTACTATGTCATTAATTTTACGTGGAGGAAGCCGCGAACAATAGCTGGTATGTAATAATTCAAATGCAATACAATTCACTAGTCTTATTCTGGGATAAAAAAAAAATTAAATATATCAAAAATTTTACCACACAGTTTCTTATTTTCCTGACCAAGGTTTAGACTAAGTTTTATATGAAAATTATATTAAAAACTAATACGAATTGACTGACATTAGCTTAAATGTTACGCTGGCAGTATCACTAAATAACTAAATTCTGGTTAAGAAAATACGTTCTCAAGCGGACCTAATTACACATGACTTAACAACTATAATACAGATTATAAATACTTACACTAAAAACTGTTTTGATGTTGTGTACGAATTGCTATTTTAAAAATTAAAAATATCTCTTTAACACTCCAAACTGAATTTGTATTATATATATATATCTAAATTATTAACACATTTCACCAATTTATTGCTATTTTATTTTACTCAACCATTATTTTATCAAAAATTTTTTAAATGTCATAATTTCATTTTCTACACAAAATTCGACACAACATCTAAAAAAATAAATGCTTTTATATGAAAAAAAAATTGTATACATATGACTTTTTACACGATTTACATATCAGTCGTAAGAAAAATATCCAAAGTCTTGTCGAAGCTGAATTATTTACAATTACAAATAGTGATTGTCACTTTTCACTTATAGTTCTGCAAACTCATCCGGCCCGGTGGGTGGCTATTGTCCAACTTCTGTCAGAAAATGACAGAAAAAGGCGGCAATTTTTCATCACCGGGCCAGATAATTTTGCCACACTATTAGTCGTACGAATTACTATACACTATAGTTAAAAACTTTTGCTTACAGGCGAAAGATTTTTAACATTCCAATATTCTTGCTAACTGTACAAGGGTTGCTAGCGTATGCTACAAAATTAGCTCAAAAATGACTAAGTCCTAGGGTAAAAAAAAATGGAAAGTTCTCGATCATTCCGTACATAGAAACTACATTGTGATGACAATTATCACATCGTTGTAATAAAGACACGAATTGCTCTGGCAATAAATTGGACGTTAAATACTATATTGTATTGCTTATTATTTCCAAATAAATGACAATATCAAAGAAATTAAAAGACACATGGCAGTGGAAAATGGAAATAAATCAAAAAATATTGTTGGAAAATAAAGCGGGAAATTGTAATTTAAATGTAGCAACACTAACAAACTTCACTTATGGTCAACAGATAAAAAATTTTAAACTAAACCATAGACTAATCAACTGAAAGCACCTAGAATAGTAAATATTTGTTTTCAAATGAATTAAAGCAAATAAAAAATTGTGATGATTGGTAAAAGTAATTATAACCTAAAAATAAATATAAAAATATCTTTTCTTACAACATAAAATAGGGTAAAAAAAATTATGACATTTCTGTAATGCCCATTTAGTCTTTTAAACATTATAACAAAAATATAAGAGATACGATTCCTTCGACAAACAATGTTTAGATGTTCAATAACTATGAACTTGAATCAAAAAACAAAAACCTTAACACAAAACATTTATTCTACTCGTACTTAAAAACCGTTCCTGTCAGTTGCAAACTCAAAATAATTCATGAAATGGGTCACAGCAAAAATAATTTGACTTATCTATCATCAAGAACCATAATAAATTTTACTTTGATCGGTCTCAGATCTTAATATTGTCATAAACATTTTAAATACGAGTAGAATTAAATCCAAATGTTTTTGTAATTCTGCTGCCATAGTTATAAAAGAACCATAGACTATAGATGTGATGTGAACAATGAGTCACTCGGCCTCCATCTTGTCAGTCCGGTCTCGTGTGAGTATTAACGAATCAAACTTATCAGTTTGTGAACACTATGTACAGTACTTAATATGCACTTATTTACATTGGTGTTCATCTGTAACAAATAAAAACATTTTATTTAGTAGAAATAGAAGAGAAATAGAAAGTTTACTATCAGACTATGGGACAGGCCCTTAGTCAGTACTATAATATTCTTGTAAATTGTCTGATAACAATGCAACGAGTAAAAGATGTGATGGAAATATCGGATTTTGTTACTCTATCTGACAGTGACATCATTTTTAAGATATCTGAGCCTTTATCGGCTAGTGGTTGGACAGGCCCTTATAAAGATATATGAAAGTATACTATTTTTCTAGGTTTCGAATGACTAATAATAATTTTACTGCTGCAATTGACGTTCTGACGTAAAGACTCTTACGGAACATCAGCGCTTTTTTAACAAATAAGCACCATAGTAGTAAAGGCCTTATCCATTCAGCATTCCGAAGTTAATAAAATACCTGTATAACATTTTTTATATCTATACTAATATTAAAGCGTAAACACACACTACTCTGTGGCTTAAGATGTCAGCAATATCAGCATATTATTTAATAAATAGCCCTACACTTACGACACTTTAGGCTATATATTTTACGAAATAAACTTAGGGGTAAACAAATTAGCTAAAACCCTAACATGGGAAAGAGATCATAAACTAAAAGCTGCCAACATTAAGGATACAAAGTTGCCATTGTTTGTCATCATGTTAATTTGACATTTGCAATTAATTATTTGACAAATGTAACCAATTTTTTTTTTAAAAGTTTGTGGCGGATGAAGCCTCATGGGAACAGGTAATAAGATATATGAAGGTATACTAACAGCGGTGTGTGGTGTGTGTGGTGTGTGTGGTGTGTCAGCGGTGGCGCGGCCTCTTGTGCGGCGGCGCGTGGTGGCCGAGCGTGACGAGCGCGGAGGCGACGGCCAGCCCGCCCAGCGGCGGCGCGCGCCCCGTGCCGCCCGTCGGCAGCCGCACCACCAGCGACAGCACCGCCGCGCGCCCGCCGCGGCACGGCTCCAGCGCCACCGGCGCCGGCACGCCCGCACCTACACACAATACTACTTTACTAATTGTATTTCTTTCTTGGAATAACTATAGTAAAGCCCGCTTTAACATCTCACGAAAGATTCGGCACGCCTGCAATACCACGACCACACAGAAGACAAGCGTAAAGTGGAAGCAATTCTGTGTACAGTCTGATGAGTGTGGTGCTGGAAGCCCAACTGTAGTCCCTTTTCCTTACCACCCTTTTTTCACAAAAAAGATGGGAAGGGAACGTTGATTCAAAGGTAGAGAAGACGATTAGGAAGGGGAAATATCCTTTTATTTGTGTCTCCTCCTGCATCGATTAAGTATAGGCAACGCATTAGCTATTGCGAATGTTTATGGGCAACGGTCGCTTCGCCATTTTGGCGGATTCAGGAGGCCGCCTGCTCGTATGGCTTACGAGCAACTTTATGATATAAAAAATAATTAGTAGCTTCTTAATGGTGAAAGAAGTTTTAAATCTTAAAGTTTTTGAGTTATTTCAATACATCCAAAAATCCAAATTTTTCCTTTTTATAATATTAAGTACAAATTAATATTACGCTTTTGCCAGTAAAGAACTTGCTTCTGCCATTAATGGACGGTTCACACTTAGCCAGTACAGTTGGATAAGCGCGCTTAATATTTGGACTGGCATTATAAACTAACTGGCGCCAGTGAGTCGATACAATTCGTTCCTTATCTTCATTAGGATATGTTAATGTTAGTAATTCTATAAAATGAATTATCTCAAGCAGAACTGAACAAAAAACTTCATTAACTGAAAATCCTTAGCACAAATACGTAAAAATAATTCACCTCCACCTCCTTTCTCCAGCTCAACGCAGACCTGGCTGAAGGGTCTGGAGGCCATTTGCTCCATCTCCACGAACAGCCGCTGCCGGCGACGGTATATGTCATACTTCTGTAATTAAAACATACAAATTGCTATAAGTGAATAAATCTTCAATTTACGGAATTCGCTAAAACAGTGACTTCAGTCTATAGACATCAACACGTGGATACGACCGTAAACCATGCCATTTCATTTAAATAACCCCATCCCAATCCAATCATATTTATATTTCTTAAAATAATTACTAAAACGCTGTGAATGGATTTATTGTTTTTTTTATACCAACGTTGTGATTACCGTATAAATGAAATATGTTTAGATTTTTAACTAAAATTCAAGCACTGATCCATATTAACATGTTTGTCACCAATCCTAAATCATACTAATATTATAAATGCGAAAGTTTAGATGGATGGATGGATGTTAGAGTTTGTAGCCTAAACTGCTGAACGGATTTCAATGAAATTTGGTATAGAAGTAGAGTATAGTCTGGAAGAACACATAGGCTAAACACTTTTGTTTTTTTAATACCTCGGGGACGGAGTCGCGGACGAAAGCTGAAAGCGGCCGAAATGAATAAAAATGTTCAGTGTTTGTTTACCTGTTTGATCTTCCACAAAGCAGCAGCGACGAGCAACAACAGCAGGAAACAAGAAGAGAAGGTGATGAAGAACTGCTGTAGATTTAATTTAGGATACTGCGAGAAGGAGATCTGTATCCAGAGCGGCGGCCGGAAGTCGTACACGTATACGAAGAACGTCGTCAGCGTCACGTTGTCCTCTACACCGAAAGCGTGCTCCGACTTCGCGAACCTGTAGTGGAACGGCCTTGCGATATTATTTAAGTGTATTTCTTATATATTGATATAAACTATACACATTTAGTAGCTGAACCCGACATTGCTTGCGTGAAATAAAAAAAAAATAAATAAAAAAGATGTTATTCAGTGATAACGGAGCTTGTTAATGGGGTAAGAATTTTTAAAACTGACGTCGTAGTTCTTGAGTTATTTCAATACATACAAAAATACTAATATTTCCTCTAAATTAGCGAGTAACATAGACTATCTTTTACTATTTTTTAATGTAATGCAGACGAAGTCACAAACAGCCAGTAGTAAATATGTTCCTTCGCTATATAACTTTAAACTGTTGTGTTTTACAAATCGCACCATTCTTAAAAAGAATAACTCAAAATTTGTGTTTCTTTTTGGGAAATTGCGTTTGTAATATATAATTTTTATTTGAGATGATCTCTTTTATCATTTTATTATGTCACGAATTAAATCAGTCGTATTCTTCTCGAAGAAAATAATGCCGTTTATAAAAGTAAAAAAACATTGAGTTAATCTTTTTTATGTACAAAGGTGCGAAATGGTCCTTCGAGTCGGATAAAATACGTAAATGGTTTATTATTTCACTTTTGAAAATATACATTTCATGAGAGCCTTGGCACCTGCACTAGGTTTCTCTGAGCTGCAGAAGCCAATCCCTTTCCCCATTTGTGAATAACAATACACATTAGGGTTTAAAAGGAATTCAAAAATGTTTTACTTGTATCTGAAGTTGGTGCAGTTGAGGTCGCTGAAGAGCGTGCGCTCCGCGGGGTCCGCGCGCGTGCGTACTGTGAGGTTCATGCGCGCGTGCGCAGAGCACGTGATGCTGAAGTCCGCGTCCACGTCCGGCTTCACCGGCGCGTTGCGGAAGTTGATCGCGGACAGGTGACGGTCCTCCTTCTTCGATAGGTTGAACGTGAACTGATAATCCACTGCTAAATCGTCTGAAAATATATTAATATTAATATTACAAAACAATACATCATACTAATCATACTTAAAACCAAGGGCTTGTCATATATCTTTATTTTCTTATTAAGGACCTGTCTCACCACTGGCTGATAGAGGCTCAGATAGCTTAAAAGTGACGTCACTGTCACATAGAGCAACCAATCCAATATTTCCATCACATATTGGTTGGATTGTTATCTAACGATTTACAAGAATTGGGGCCTTTAATATTATAAATGTGAAAGTTTAGATGGAAGAATGTTTGTTAGAGTTTGTAACCCAATGAACGGATCTCGATGAAATTTGGCATAGATATAGATGAAGAAAACATACTTCTGTTTTTTAATTCCACGCGGACGGAGTCGCCGACGAGAGCTTGTATATCTTAAATCAACCGAAAATGTTTCACATAAAGGTTATTTTCCTAGCTTTGAAAGATGATCTTTGTCAAGGAAATCTGCCGCATAAATCCGTCAAAAAAAAGTAAAAACAGACCACTTACAATAACATGCTCCCTTGTTGTATACATCAGCGTGATAGTGATTGGTGTTATCACACTTATCACAGCGGTCTCCCGCCAGCCCTTTAGTACTGCAGTAACAGCGGCCCGTGTCCGCCGCACACGACACCGCTTGAGCATTACACGAACACGCTGTAATGGAAAAAATATATTAAGAATTATTTTTGGGGTGTACATTGACTATGAATTCGATCAGCTCAATGAGAAAAGTTTTTACACACACATTTTTAAAAAAGACACTTTTCCGCCACTAAATCACATAATTTAAAAAAAATCTTTACAGGTTTTTTTTATGGTAATAAAGTATACTAAAAAAGGTTTGGTTCAATTTGGCGTCCTATGCATATTGCCTATTGTCTTGTTAATTATCATGTTAGTATAATGTAGTAGAGATATTAGCAATTTTTTTTATAGTATAAGGTGACAATCGAGCAAGCGGCCACTTGAATCCACCGAAATGGAAAGCCACCGCTGCCTATGGGTCCATTGACCCTTCATTGACGGAGGAGGTGACGCACATAAAGAGGACACTTTCCTTTCTATACGTCTCCTCCACCTTCAAATCCACTTTTCCTAAAATTAGGCATGCGGCACCACACTCATCAGACTGTACGCGGAATTGCGTCCACTTCACGCCTGTCTTCTGTGTGATCGTGGTATGACACCGGGCAAGGCGACCTATTCGTGCGAAGATGTTAAAGCGGGCTCTACCACTGTTAAAATGTAATGTGGTAGAGATATTAGGAAAAGAAAGTAATTGTGAAGACTAACGCTGGCAGAGGCCGCCATTGAGCGGGCTGCCCCAGTGCGCGGGCGCGCACGTGTCGCAGTGGTCGCCGGTGGCGCGCGCGCCGCACGGCTGCACGCAGCGCGCCGCCGCGTCGCACACCGCGTGCCCGTTGCACTGGCACAGCGGGCACCGCGTGAAGTGCCATCTGGACATTTTACAAAAATATTTATCTTTCGCCCGCGACTCCGTCCGCGTCGAATTACATAAAACAAAAATGAGTAGCCCATCATATTATCGAAATCCGTTCATTCGTTACATAAACATACATCTAAACTTTCGCATTCATAATAGTATTTATCATATAGAACATTTACAGCAGGTATGGACAACATTTGACATGTCGAGGACCAAACTTTAGCGTGCTAATACGTTCGCGGGTTGCAACATCAAAGGATTTGATGTTTGCTGCCTCACTGTCACGCCCTGAGTATAACCTAAGGTTTTTATTCTAAACGGGTTGTTTCAAAATGTCTCACGGGCCTGGGTTTGCCCATATATGATTTCATCATCATCCATCACCAACTCACTATATGTCTCCACCAAGGGACTCGGAGCCTACCCTAAGTTAGGGTGACGAGGCCATAGTCAATCACGCTGGCCCACTGCGGCGGGTTGGTATTTTTTTGTTTTTTTGCTCTACCTCTGACGTGGTCAGAGCCTATGTTTAACTATATTTCTTTCATACCAGTTCTCGCAATTATTCCTCTCGCACTTTCATCCTGCATACTATTTCTTTCTGTCATACTTCATCTTTCAGTTTTTAATCGGGTACATATTAAATTTCGGAAAATCGAAAATCACCTGGCGGGATTCGAACCCTTGACCTGTAGATAACAAGTTAAGTGCTTAAACCACTGAGCCACCGACGCTATATGATTTACAGCTTAATAAATGTAACTAGTTGACTAAAAGCACACCTATGTTGTGGACAGACGTGTGGTTGATGCGGCCTGCGTTGTCCGCCGGGCAGGCAGACGCCGCGCCCCCCGCCCTCGCCGTCGTCACACCACCCGCACGCCGGCTCCGCGCGACACGCCGCGCACCCCGCGTGCGCCGCGCACCCCCCGCCGCGACCGCCTGCCGCGCCCGCCGCACCTGCCGCGCCCCCCGCACACGCACCCGTCGACCACGCCCGGCACCCGCCCAACGGGAACGACGCGCCGTACGCATTCTACAAACAAAACAGAGTTTAATAACGTTAAATGTACTAATAGACAGCACAAAATGAATCAAAACTAAATCTACAGTTATTAACCAAAGATATTTAGGAAATATATCGACGGGTGAAAGGCTATTTGTTTCAACCGCCATTTTAGGCGATAATGACTTACATGTAATATATCCAGAATAGGTGATTTTTTCTGCGTCGTTAATAAACAATAAAGTGTGCAGAATTATAGAAACAAATAGCCTTTCACCCATATAGACTAGGCATAGTGAAGAAAACTTTTTCAAAGGTAATTTCTCTGACAGGTAATATAGTTGTCAAGTTTAATACGCCACCTCTTGTCCTTGTATTGACATTTTACAAAATTGTAATAATGGATGGAGTATCTTTTATTATAAAATAAACTAAACAGTGTCGCAAAATAAAATATAAACATTTAAATATTATTTAATGACATGTGCTTTAGAGAATGACAATAGATAGTCTCGCATCACTAGATGATTATGTAAGAAATGTCTCAAGTAAAGTCAACTATGCTTACTTTACACATTTTTTTAATCTCTTTGCCATTTACTGACAATTATGATAAAAGTATTGCAAACATTTCCATTCAATAACTAATTAATATAATATATTTGGTACAGGCAGCACTTCATGCGTATTGTAGAAACTAGTCATCACAACTAGATGGCACTTTAACAGTCATTACAGTGTTATGACGTCATATGTCACTGTACCTTGTCCACACATCGTCCGGCCGAAGCGCACCAGATGCACTCCTCAGCGGTGCAGTTGGCGCACGTGGTGTGCGTGGCGCACGGAGCACTGCACCCGCCACTTGACACGCTTCTGTAAAGATATATTAAATTCATTGAAAATATATAGATATAATTTAATGTGGACTCTATCTATACTAATCTAGTATCGAATAAGAAGCGAAGTCGCGAGTAACAACTAATCTTACTTAAATGGAAAAGTCTAGATGAATGGTTCGTTACTATGTATCAAAATAAATACATACAAAAATACAAATCTTTCCTCTTCATATTATTATAGATATTCAAATACACGTACCTTACATCGTCCGTGGTGTTCGCCGGCTTACATTTAACAGTGTCATAGTCCCAGTAACAAGCTCTTTGGTTTACATCTTCTATCGCCTGGAAATCAAAACAATTCATATATCGATGGGTGAAAGGCTATTTGTTTTAAGCGCCATTAGGTTAAATTCAGGAGAAACATTTAAAGTTTTTAGAAAAAAAAGCATAAAAACAAAATCTGGAAATAATTTATATTGAAAGATTTTCAGACAGGTTTTAGACTAAAATTACTATAATTCTGCATACTTTATTATTTATTAACGACGCAGAAAAAAATCACCTATTCTGGATGTATTACATGTAAGTCATTATCGCCTAAAATAGCGGTTGAAACAAATAGCCTTTCACCCGTCGATAAAAGTATAATATACTCAAATTCAGTAGAAACGAGATATTAACACATGTTATGGCTGCTCTATGCTTAATTTAATAATTGTAGTTTATGGTACTTTTCCCCACATGAAGGTTTTTTTTTTCAATTTATTTACCCTCGAACTTTAAAAACGTAAAAAATATAGCCTAAAGCATGTCGTAAGTGGGTCTTTTTGTTGAAGGAAGAATTATTCAAAAACATGCTGTGATTGCTAACATCCTACGCCACTAGGTAGTGTGTGTGTACGCTCTATAATATTACTAGATTTCGCCCGCGACTCCGTCCGGGTGAAATGAAAAAACAAAACTGAGTAGCCTGTGTTCTACATCTATGCTAAATTCCATCGAAATCCGTTCAGCCGTTTAGGCTCCAAGCTCTAAGAAACATCCATCCATCCATCCAACTAAATTTTCGCATTTATAATATTAGTATGATTATACAGTAGAACCTCGATAACTTAAAAACCTCTATAACTTCAAAAAATAATATATTCCCTTCCCATCAGAGTCCAAAAGTTCTACAACATAGCCCCTTGATAACTTAAAACCTCTACAACTTAAAATATTTTGTGTTTCCCTTGGACTTTAACTTATCGAGGTTCTACTGTATATCTATATCTATACTATCTATACTATTATAATAAAGCGTAAACACACACATCTTTGTTGCCTAACATGTCAGCAATTACACCATATTTCTGGATAATCCTATTTTTAATAAAAAAAAAAAACACTACACTTACATCACGCCTTAGGCTATATATTTTCAGGCCAATAAACTTATGAGATAAATATTTTGGATAAAAACCCTAATCAGGGAAAGAGACCATTAGTTGCATCCAACATCAAGAAAGCAAGATTGCTAAGGTTTGTCATGTCATGTCATTTTGACATTTGCTATTGATTTGACAAATGTAAACAATAAAATAATATTTTCATAATTTCATGCGTATAAATCCGCACGGGAACAGCCAGTTATATTATATTAGTATAGATAGGTACATGTGCGTGGTGGTGTCTGTGCGCATGGCAGGCCGCACACGAGTGGTATCTCGCGCACGCGTCGCGCGCGGGCTCGGACGCCGCGCCGCCGCACTCCTCCAGAGACAACGCCATCTGGATACAAAAATAAACTTTTATACACATTCTAACATACATTTGATGAACTATCTAGAACAAAAAAACATACAGAAGTAAGTACCTCCTTCTTTTGTGAAGTCGGTCAAAATTGATAAAAACAGATAATCGCTAGAAAATTAGGGGTCCATGAACATTTTTTTAGTAACACTAAAGTGAACATCAAACATTAATAAATACAAAAATCTACATATTTCTTTTTTTGCTCTGTTGCGTACTGCAACGCCGGCGGGGAAGACGTAAGGGATTGTCGTGCGTCCCCCGCTAAAAATGCGACTCTCACGAATTAAAACTTGTAAATGATCCACAAAGTTGTTTGACAGAAATGTACACATATCGTAAAAAAAAAATGAAATAAACACAGAAAAAAGTGTCCGAAGCCCTAGAGTATTTACACAAATGTATGTTCATATACTAATTGCGAGTGCCGAAGACTACTCGAGTACAGACTACATAAGTTGTTTGACAGAATTATACACATGTTGTAATTAAAAAAAAAAACATAAAAAAATTTCTTCAAACCCATAATATTAATACTAATGTTACACCTGTTGCGTATGCCTAAGACAGTACTGCGCGGAGGGGTAGCAGGCGCCGCACCACGCGCAGCCCGCGGCCGTGCACGCGCCGCACCACTCCGCAGCGCCGCAGCGCTTCTCGTCTGCACAACACAGTGAACATTCCACTTACTGGCATACACAGGACAGTTATTTTATTACCTATCTATACTTCTATACTATTATAGTAAAGCGTAAACACACACTTCTTTGTTGCCTAAGATGTCAGCAATTACACCATATTTTTTAAATTTTTTTTTTTAATAAAAAGCCCTACACTTACGTCATGCTATAGGCTATATGTTTTCACGCCATTTAACTTAGGGGGGTAAATAAATTGAATAAAAACCCTAATGTGAGAAAGACACCATAAGCTACGAGTTGCCAACATAAAACAACTAAGGTTGTCATTTATGCATTTGAATTTTGACATTTCTTGTGAAACATGTTACATTTGTATGTAAACAAAAAAAAATCAAGTTTTTATAATTCCACGCGAATGAAGCTGCACGGGAACAGCTAGTACTAATATAAAGAGAACAGATTTGTATTTTTGTATATATTAAAATGATTCAAAAACTACTGGACCGATATGAACAATTATTTTATCATTAAAAAAATATCAATAAGTAACATAGGTTACATTTTTTATAACTTTTTAATTCCACGCGGACGAAGTCGCGAACAAGCTAGTCATAAATAAAAAAGCGCTTGAGCACAATCCCACCTTAATTTAACTAAGTGAAGATGAGGACTATTAAGTGACATATATGACAACATTCTAGTCTAGGTGCAGGCGGAGCCAAAATTGGTCATACCACGCGCCTGCTAATATACGGCCAGTGGTGGATTAGAATTTTTATTTATGATATAAGGTGGCATACGAGCAAGCGGCCACCTGAATCCACCGAAATGGAAAGCGACCGCTGCCCATAAACATCCGCAAATGCAAATGCGTTGCCTATCCTTTATTGACGGAGGAGACCCACAAAAAGACATTTCCCCTTCCTATGCGTCTCCTCCACCGTCAAAACCACTTTTCCTTCCCATCCTTTCTTCTTAAGAAAAGGGTGGAAAGGGAAAGGGACTCAAATTAGGCCTCCGGCATCACACTCATCAGAGGAAACGCGGAATTGCTTCCACTTCACGCCTGTTTTCTGTGTGGTATTACACCGGGCGAGCCGGCCTGGTCGTGTCAAGATGTTAAAGCGGGCTCTACCACTGTACATAGAATATTGGCAAAATCGATTTGCACGTGCCAATAAAATGACATCGTATGAGAATTTTCGGTATAATTCCTCATCAACATGCACTTAGCTATCACAAAATTAATGGTGCTAGCTGCATGCTAGTGATTCACATATGCTTGTAGTTGGCATGCGTAAACCATGCAAGTGTGCTTGTATGTTGCATACAGGTAAAGTATAATTAAATAGGTAATTTTATGTAATATTTCATCTTAGTATCTAACTATTTAGTAATATTTAATAAACATACCTAAAACAGGTTCTACGACGCACGTTTTCACTGTACCATCGAAAGACTTTGCCCAACCGACTTCTTCCAACTGTAAATAATCATTATTTGTGTCTTATACTCTGGATTTTACAAGTAAATTCTGCGTGAAATATTATCTTATAACTGTTATAAATGCCAAAGTTGAATAGATAGATATTTGTTAGAATTTATAGCCTAAACTGCTGAACAGATCTCTAAAAAACACAGACGAAATCGCGAGCAACAGCTAGTACTCAAACAAATATTATAAATGCGAAAGTTACAATGGATGGATGTTTGTTAGCGTTTGTAGCCTAAACGGCTGAACGGATCTCCATGAAATTTGGCACAGGTTTAGAGCATAGTCTGAGAGGAACACATAGGCTACTTTTTATCCCTGGAATAGTTACGGTTCCCGCGGGATTCATTGATTTAGTTTTTTCATTCTGCAAGGGTTCAACATATCATTAAAATTTGGCACAGATATAAAACAAAGTCTGGAGTATAACGCCCGGCAAACTTCTTGAACAAAAAGCGGATAGTGGGGGAAGTTTTGCGCACGTACACATTAGACAAAATAATTGACCTATTTTGAGTATCAGTAATAATTAGGAATGAAAAAATTAAATTTTAAGAAAAAAGACAGACATGCATAAACAGCTTGTGCAATTTTTTTAGATGATTCTTGTTTCATGAAACAATATACATCATGTACTATTTTCTTGGCTTGTCTTTTTAGAACAATGTTACTTTTTCGTGGCATACTCAACACAAAAAAACATACAGACGAATTGAGTACCTCCTTCTTTTGGGAAGTCGGTCAAATGTCAAAAATAACAACAATCAAATAAAACTTAACAATAATAAACAAATGAGACTCAATAATAACAACAATAGAAAAAAATTATAAACAAGTATTATCGAAAATAAGTAACAGCGAAATTGGGCCAACAAAATTGGAGATAAGTGTATTCGGGAGTAAACGGAACATGGGGAAAGAAGCGGGACGCAAAGGTCGACTGATTAACCAATAGCAAGAGAGCGCGCGCGCATCCCACCTTGCCCCGCCAAAAACACCCAAAAACCGACTTCTGCGCAACTAAATGTATTGTTCAAGATGTTTGCCGGTCGTTATACACATGGGATAAGGTTCATCCCCGAGAAATGTCCGGTTCCCGAGGGATACGTAGCTTTTTGTTATTTATATAGTTCGAATGTTTTCTAAGACCATGCGGACGAAGTCGCGAGCAACAGCTAGTAAAACATACTGACAGCGACACACAATCTCTCCCGCGTCCTCCAGGCGCAGGCGGTGGCGGCGTGGCGCGCGGCGGACACGCACGACAGCTCGTCCGAGTGCGTCGCGCACGCCGCGCCCGACACGAACACGAGCGCGTCCGACCGCAGCCGACCGTCGAAACTGAAATTATACAATCATTCGGAATTAAAAGCGTCGTAAAGAGCGTCGGTTGCTCAGTGGATTAAGCACTTGACTTATAAACATATCTTGGGTTCGAATCCCGCCATATACCAATGTGATTTTCGATTTTTCGAATTTTCATATGTACATAATTTACCCGACGTTCTTACGGTGAAGGAAAACATCGTGATGCCTGCACATATCGGTGAAGAAATTCAAAGATATGTGTGAAGTCAACCAACCCGCATTGGGCCAGCGTGGTTGACTATGGCCTCGTCACCCTAATTTAGGGTAGGCTCCGAGCCCCTCGGTGGGGACGTATATATGAAGCTGGTGATGATTCGGAATTAAAAGACATATATCTCTGGATGGATTGCGTGAAAGGAGACATGATCAAGGGAGTGATGACTGAGATGACGGATGAAAGAGTTATTTGGAGGACGAAAACCCGGTGCGCCGACCCTACGGGAGTAGGATAAGATAGGGGAGATGATGATATCTCTGTGTTGTCTAAACTATGTTTCTGTCTTTATCGATGCGTTAACCAGTTTCGAAGATACGAAGTAACAAACATCCGATATTCTCGCATACGTAATATTAGATGATTTTTTATAGGTAACAATCGCAACGTGGATACGAGTCAAGCACTTGATAAGACATCATAATCGATCGATTTCCATAGCAATGCCAATTTAATTTGTACATTTAATATCTTTACTATTGTTTAAATTAAAATAAATCCATATATCAGTATCTCACCCGCCATATATGATAGCAGCCTTACGTCCGCGGTGCGTGGTGTGCGCCGCCGCGTGCGCCGCGCGCGCCGCCCCGCGCGGCTCCGGCGCAGCGTGCCACACGCCGCATCTGTACACATTTATATTAAAAACTAGCTGTTCCCCTGCGACTTCATTCGCATGAAATTATGAAAATTGTTTTATTGATTACATTTGTCAAATTCAATTGCAAATGTCAAAATGACATGACATGATGACAAAGTACGGCTATTTTGTTTTCTTGATGTTGGCAGCAACTTATGGTCTCTTTCCCACATTAGGGTTTTTATCCAAAATATTTACCCCCTAAGTTTAATGGCGTGAAAATATATAGCCTACAGCGTGACGTAAGTGTAGGGCTTTTTACTAAAAAGAGTATTATTCGAAAATATGCTGTAATTGCTGACATCTTAGGCAACAAAGTGTGTATTTACGCTTTATTATAATAGTATAGATTGTGTGTTAATTTATTTAGAGCTGTATGCGCATATGGGCAATGGAAAAACTTTCTTGAAACTAACAAAAACTTTGTTTCTTACAAATAATAAATTCTAAAAAATAATTTTATATAATATCAACGACATCCGTCGTCTTAGCAACCACAATTACGAATCTCTGATATTCGTTCTATATATATCTTTTTCTACTTTTGTCCACGTAGCTACTAGTTGTAACTTTACCACCTTGAAAACTCAGATATTTATCACAAAACCGCTTCGCTATTTCTGCAAATCAGGAGACGGCTGGCTCGTTTACGACCATATGATATCTAATTCGCGGTAATAGCATAGAGGCCGCTATTGACAGACATCTTTTGCAATACATATCTTTAATCACCTCCATTACTATGCATCCCATCCGCCAAATTAACTTCCCCGTTCCAATTTTTTGTAAAGAATATAAAGGGGCAAAAGATCAAAATGTGTCGTGTTAGTGACGTCACAGACCTGACGTCATACAGCATGGCGGCCGCGGAGTAGCACTTGGAGGCGGCGGCGCTGGCGGGCGCGGCGGGCGCGCTGTCGTTGTGCGCGTTTCCACCGAACACTAACATCACACCTGAAACGCGATATTATTTATTTAAAATTAGCTTTCGCCCGCGACTCCGTCCGCGTGGAGTTCAAAAGAACAAAAGTTAGACTATCCCCTACGTCTATGCCAAATTTCATCGAGATCCGTTCAGCCGTTTAGGCTATAAACTCTTAACAAACATCCATCCATCCATCTAAAATTTCGCATTTATAATATTAGTAAGATTATATTTCCAGCGTCTTCGTTAGAAATTAAAAAAGTAAGTAGCCTGTGTTCTGAAGACTATCCTGATACATCTATGTCAAATTTTCTTTAAATTCGTAGTTTAGGCTACAAACTCAACATCCATCCATACAAAGTTTCGCATTTATATTATTATCATTAATATGAAACAAAAAAAAAAAGAATTTAAATCCTTTATTCCTAGTTAGTAGTAGTAGTTTTTGCATTTTTATCTATGTTGTAACCAATGTGACTAGACATACAAAAATCGGCATATTGATGAAAAATTTGAAAGAATTATTTGCCAAACACAGAAAGCACACAATAGACAATATTTCCGAGGGTCGGTCGAGGGTTCGAATCCCGCCATTCGTATATTGTAAACTGTGCTAGGGCACAAGCCTAGAGTTTAGTTAGAAGGTTGGAGAAATACAGTAGAACCTCGATAAGTTAAAGTCCAAGGGAAACACAAAATACTTAAAGTTATAGAGGTTTTAAGTTATGAAGGGTCTATGTTGTAGAGGTTTTGGGCTCTAATGGAAAGGGAACATATTATTTTTAGAAGTTATAGAGGTTTTTAAGTTACCGAGGTTTGAGTTCTCGAGGTTCTACTGAATTAGTTAATTTACAAAAAATCTACTATTATTTTCTTTAAAAAAATCAGTAAATTATGATATTTTTTATACCTGGAGATACAAATATAGCTGTGTGTAGATATCTAGGTGTGGGTGCGGAGGGCAGCGGCCGCCACACGCGGCTCTCCACCTCGTACTCGTATAGCGCGGCTGACGGCGCCTGGAATACACAGAACAATTCTATTAAATAAAAACAACAATAACAGATATACAGTGAAAATGCACAGTGTCCTACTTTCAGATTTTATTAAATGATGGCTAACAGCCACCTGTTCTCCGTAAAGGCGTAGCGATCTCTGTCCATAGCTCCGCAATTGCAGAAGCGTTGGCAATCTACAATTGATGGAGGAATAGAGAAATAAAGATGATATTTTTCTATGTGTCTCTTCTATAATCTAAAGGGACTAAAATTATGCAACCGCCGTAAGAAAATTGAACATCTATCAGATTGATAGCGGCATTTCATACATAATTAACAATTTATTATGTTTAATTTTATTACCAATTAGACAACAATATTCAACAATTACAAAATTCGTTTCAGTATTTGGCCTATTCTAAGTTTTAGGTCCGGTCCCACCACTGACTGACAAAGGCTCAGATAGTTTAAATGACGTCACTGTCAGATAAAGGAACAAAATCCGATATTTCCATTACATATTTTACACGTTGCTTTATCAGACAATTTCCAATGTGGTGGGACTGGCCCTTAATATCCAGTTACCTGTGCAGCTTCGGACTCCGAGACGAGTCCGGCGTGCACGTAGACGCGGCGCGACAGCGGGTCCCAGGCGGCGGAGTGGCCGAAGCCCGCGCGCGCAGACCACCCCCGAGTGGGCGGGGCGGACCACGCCCCCTCCTCTATGTGGTACTCCTACAAAGTATATCAAATTTAATTAAATTCACGTTTTTTTTTAAGTTGGACCACCATCTTACCTACGAGTGCAGATGTGGTCGAAAGATGGTACGCGGTACCCTAATTAATAAAATTGGAGTGTCTATCTAATATCGAAAAAATCACCTTTTATATACATAACACATTTGCGTTACTGGTAACGTAAATTTGATATATAAAAATTTTGTCTGTCTGTTCACAAGTCGCATTTGTTCCGAATAATCTCCAAAACGGCTGAACCGATATTTACTAAACTTTATCAGTATATAAAGACGACCTTTAGTTTAAATCCGGTCTCAAGTCATTGGAGACGGTTAGTATGAAAGAAAATATAAAAAAAAAAAACGTTACAAGCAATAAATATTGAATTAATTTTAAGTAGCTCACCTGTACAATATGCATGTACCCGTAATGTGGCGAATGACCGAAAAAAACCACCATAATCGCCTTCTGAGTGGGTCCGACGTGTGCGAGCACCGCCGTGTGCCCCGACAAGTGTAGACCTCCTGGTTAACAAATACATATAATATTTACTAGTACTAGGTACAGTAGAACCTCGATAAGTTAAAGTCCAAGGGAAACACAAAATATTTTAAGTTATAGAGGTTTTCAGTTATCAAGGGTCTATATTGTAAAGGTTTTGGGCTCTGATGGGAAGGGAATATATTATTTTTTGAAGTTATAGAGGTTTTTAAGTTACCAAAGTTTGAGTCATCGAGGTTCTACAGTATAAGAGACTACTGGTGTAAAAATTTTGATAAAGGCGACAGATAGAGATGTATGGAAGCACATACTGTGCTGACCCTTTGTAGGGAAAAGGGCACGTTGATGATACTGAGTAGATATTAAAAATATATCAAGGGCAAGGACAAAGGCGGGGGATCAAGTGTCATTATCTATACTTCTATATCTGTCTGTAGTATCTATACTAATATAGCGTAAACAAACATTGGCGACATTCGTGGCGTAGGATGTCGGCAATTACGGCATATTTTTGAATAATTCTTTCATTAATAAAAAACCATACACTTACGACACGCTTTAGGCTATATATTTTCACGCCATTAGGCTTGGTGGATAAATAAATTGGAAAAATGCCTTCATGTAAGGGACTATAAATTACAAGCTGCCAACATCAAGGAAGAAAGATTGCAATGGTTTGTCGTCATGTCATTTTAACATTTGCAACTAAGATTTTGACACATGTAAACAATAAAATAACGTTTTTTTATAATTAGATGCGGATGTATTAGGTAATATTACCGCAATGTTTGAAGGGCGGGGTCCTGTGCGGCGAGCAGGCGGTGGGCGTGGCGTTGGTCCAGATGACGGCGTCGTGCTGCACGCGGCCGCGCCACACCTCGTTGGTCACCTCGCCCGCGCGCCCCTCCAGCCCCGCCAGCCCGCCCCTGCACACAACAAACAAATCACACACTAACATATTTAACTTGTGTCATCATCATCACCAGCTCACTATACGTCCCCACCGAGGGGCTCGGAGCCTACCCTAATAATGACTAGGCCATAGTCAACCATGCTGGCCCAATGCGGGTTGGTTGACTTCACACATATCTTTGAATTTCTTCGCCGATATGTGCAGGCATCACCGTAAGAACGTCGGGTAAATTATGTGCATATGAAAATTCGAAAAATGGAAAATCACATTGGTACGTGGCGGGATTCGAACCCAAGGCCTGTAGATTACAAGTCAAGTGTTCAAACCACTGAGCCACCGACGCTTTTAACTTTACTTTAATTTGTGTACTTAGTTTTAATTGTCATTGTTAATTTTTTAAACGACAACGCCGGACAGACGACGCTGGCGCTCTCTCGTGTCGGAGGCCAAGACCCACTTTGGGTCGCTGCACCAACGCAGTAAGTAAATTAATTTTTTTAATCTAAAATTGATATTTGCGGTGCTTTCTAGTGCACGTATGTGTTGCAATCTTTTGAATAGATTAAATGATTATTATTATGATTTCCTTTTTAAAGTTGTTTTTTCTCCGTCTGATTAAATTATGTTTATTTTATATATAAATAAAATGAAATAAACATATATTTACATACATACTAATATAAAACACTTATATAATAATAAAACATACTTAAATAATAAAATACATAAATAATACCAGCCAGACGGGATTATTATTATTAAAAAAACACATTTCCTCAAAACTTGACCTTCAAGGATGAACCGTATCACATTTTACTAGTCTTATGTTCTTATCGAGTAAACATGAAAAAACCACAAACTAAATTGCATTCCACTGGAACCATAACTATTGACAAAGTATCGTATCTACTAGACAACCCTCTACATCTATACCAAAGTTCATTGAGATCCGTTCAACAGTTTACGCTGCAAACTAATAAACATCCATCCATCCAAAAGCAAAAAAAAAAACTAAACCATCACATTTATATCAGAAAGAAGTTTGATAGTAAGATTAATAACTTACCCTCTTTCAGGTTCATCAGAGGCCACAACTCCTCCATACACAATAACTTCATCTCCATACATGACGGCGGAGTGCGCGAACCTCGGCGCCGGGCTCACCGCGCCCTCCTCTACCGCCTTGATCGGGTACCATCGGTTCTCTGCCGTTTTATATCTGCAAATTAAAAACATTATCAGAGTCAGTCCTTTTAAAAGATTTGCGCGGCCTTATTGCTATAAGCAAACTCTTAGACAACCCAGTAACATTTAGGACCTGTCCCACAACTGGCTGATAGATAGCTTAAAAGTGACGTCACTGTCAGATAGAGTACCAAAATCCGATGTTTTCATCACATAGTTTATATATACTTTGAACTGTTATCTGCCAATTTACGAGAATTTTACGCCTGGCTTTTAGTTTGTAATATTACCTGTACATAAAGTCAGCATGTGAGAAGGTCTCCCCTCCCACTCTGAGCAAGTCCGGTCCCGCGGCGAGGAGAACATGGGCGGCGGCGGGGGGCGGGGCGTGCGCGGGGGCGGGCAGCGCGGGGCGCGCGTCCCCCGCCTCCCGCCACCGCCACTCCCACCCCGCGGCCGCCGCGTCACGCCCACACGACGCCCCCGCACGCGACGTCGCACATTCACACCCCCCGCGCGTACACTCCCCCGCACCGTACGCGGCGTTACAATCCTCTATACATTGGTTGAAATGAGACATCTATACTAATATTATAAATGCGAAAGTTTAGATGGATTGATGTTTGAGTTTGTATCCCAAACTGCTCAACGGATGAAATATGGTATAGATGTAGAGATGAAAGATCACATAGGCTAATCACATTTGTTTTTGTTTAAATTCTACAAATCTATACTTATAAATATAATAAAATTGGAGTGTCTGTTTGTAGTGTCAAAAGAAAAATTCCTGATTTTGGGAAGATTTGCATTTAAAAAAAATTTGTCTGTCTGTCCGCAAACTACGTTTATTCCGGGCAAACTCCGAAACGGCTGGGCCTATTTTGACCGGAATTGCACTGAAGAGTAGTAGACATAGACAGGCATATTATGGGCCACTTTTTTTATTCCGCGCAGTCAAAATGGCGTGACTGGTGGTCCTAATTTATGCTAACGAAATTTGCGGGCGACAGCTCCTTAAAAATAAAATAACTTCACTATGAGCTATAATAACAATTTACCTGGACACAGCGGCTCATCGCAGGCCACGCCCACCCAATCCGGCTCGCATCTGCACACGCCATCTTCACACTCTCCATGATCTAGACAAAAAAAATATTTAAGAAACTACCTCACACAGAAATGTATCAAAGTTAATTTATACTCACTTGAGCAATTGGTACGATGATCATCGGATGGACAAGAGTACGCTGCATATGTCACATTAAAGCCTTCCATAGCGTACGCGTCGTCAGAGAAGAAATGAAGCAACGCACTCCCAGACCGCGCTATCACTTGCCGCGTCCATCCGAAGTCGCCGTCATCCAACACACCGCTGTAAAAGACATGTTAGTATACACGGGTCAGTTATGAACAAAGACATTAAAGAAATACATAGACATAGGGAAAATATCACCGATAACTTCTTTGGAAGGTACTATGTTAGTTGTAAGTTTAGTATATGTCCTTGTATTGACATATATATAATAAGGTCCATCTTTTGTTATAAAATGAAACAAATTCTATTTAATGACACCTATTGGCGATTAATTGCCATGAGGTTTTGAGGACTTGTCAATAGATAGCGTTAGTGGATCATGTAAAAAATGTCTCATATGAAGTGTCAACTCTATACATTTTTTGAATCTCTTTGCTTATAAAGAATTATGTAAATATTACCTGAACACAGCCAATAACCGCTCAGCTCGAACACTATCCCCGTCATAAATATACAGATGGTCCCAACCGCACTCGGTAGCAAAGCTCTCGAGTCGGATGCGTAGAGGAGGCGGGCCCGGGCCGAGCCGGGGCGGGGCCACCAGCCACGAGCATGCCGTACTCACGCTGTAGTTCCCGGGACCGTCTGTTATCACACCACTTGCGGCACTGAGTCTGGAAATAAAGAATGGTGGATATTAATATTTAATATTGAAAATTATTATTTATTTGCAATTTCATCAATATTGGATGAGAATCAGTAAGAAATAGTTGCCGTCGTTAGTATATATACTTATATTATAAAGAGGAAAGTTTTGTATTTTTGTATGTAATGAAATAACTCAAATTCTACAGGGCTTATTTTAAACATTCTTTTATGGCTAGAAAGTTAACTTAACTGTCAGTAACATAGACTATATTTTTTATTTTACGCGGGTTAAGACGCAAACAACAGCTAGTAATTTATATTACACTAGCTGTTGCTCGCGACTTCGCTTGCGTAAAATAAAAAACATAGTCTATGTTACTCACTGATAACATAGATTTTTAATAGTAATAGTATTTTCGAAATCAACCCAGTACGTTTATGGTTATTACAATACATACAAAACTACAAATCTCTTCTCTTTTTAATATTAGTATTTGTTAATTTATCAATACATTAATCTTTATTTAAAACAACAATATTGTTAGGAAAATATTAGGAAATGGAAGGAATCGTGTGGGGTAGTTTTATAAAATATATGGCAAGGAGTGACTCGGGCTCAGTTGCAGTCTCTGCAATCAGTCGCCAAAAAGCTCAATGTTTTACTAGTCGTCACAACGGAACGTTTGATATATTTGCGTTGTCGCATTGGAGTTCAGATTCTGTGTTTTAAAGTAATTTACAAGTATTGTTAATATGGCCGTCCGTCTATATTTTAAAGGAAGTAATTTGTGGAACTAGCACTTTGTATGTCTAACACTGATTTGGGCAAAGCTATGAAAGAGTTGTGAAACTATAGAGACCTTAGTATACTTTTGGTGTAATGTTTGTCTTTCATTATGGTATTGGTCTTTATTATCATACTGTAGTCCTGGAAGTAAGATTAAATAGTTTTTACATCGTAATTTAATTGCGTACATGACGTGTGCAGCGATATTTTATTGATTGTAACATTGCCAGCAGCCTTGCATGTGCGAACAGCTTATCATATGCAATCACTACATGCATTGATACAAATTGACGCCCTTCTGAAAGACAAAAGAGATATCATGTTACCATGTTTTTCCACATTGCCATTCGTTTACAGGAAAATTATTGATGCATTTTTCCTGCACCTATGCAATTTATACCTACTGATATTAAGAGAAAAGATTTGTATTCTTGTATGTATTAAAATATCTCAAAAACTACTGGGCCGATTTAAAAAAATTTTTCACCATTACAAAGCTATATTGTCCCTGGGTAACATAGGCAAAATTTACTAATTAACATCCGTTTATAATCTATACTAATATAAAAAAGAGGAAAGATTTGTATTTTTATATGTATTGAAATAACTTAAAAACTACTGGGCCAATTTCAAACATTATTACAAAGTTGCTTGCAACAGCTATAATAAATAAATAAATAATAACAAACAATATCCACACTGAGGGGCTTAAGCTTGTCTTAAGGTAGAGAATGACTAGGTCATAGTCACCACTGTCCCAGTGTGGATTGGTTGACTACACATATGTTTGAATTTTCTCCATAAACAAGAAATAAAAGTGCAGTTGCAGAAATCTGTAGTGTTTTACTAACAAAATATTATAATTTAGTTTTTTAAGTTACAGTATTTCTTTTGACATCTCTCAAATGTGAAATAGTTAAGTTACATTACTGTAAATAGAAACCATTGCTTTGTTTGTCTAATTTCTCGAAGACTATTTGCATCGACTATTGAAGTGCATCATTTACAAACAAGATAATACATTTAATATTCATTATTCGCTTTTTATGAGAGACATTTAAACAGTAATAATGTAACAACGAAACTTCTAAAAGAAGAAATCAACTCTACAACAAAGTCAAAATGTACAATAGATGTCAAGGACACAAAATACAAATTGAATTGTGTAAAATGATTTAATCACATGTTACACAAAAGGCATTAGCAATGCTATGAGAGACAATAAAATTAAATAAATATCCATTTGACATGCAGATTTGGACATTGTATTAAAAATTCATTCATAATGTACTATGGACACATTTTTGAATATTTAATAATGAAATTTGATACATTGGGTAGTGTAAAAACATATATTTTGCTTAATGCAACCTTAAATAAAATATATTCCCTATATAGAAAGAGTACTGGTGTGTAAACTATCTTATGAAATATAGCTGTTGCTTTTTTTACAGGAAAAGCAGGCAAATGATCTCTTGGTATCAAATAATCCGACGCCCATGAACATCCGCAACACCAAGGGAACTGCAGATGCGCTGCCTTTAAGGGAAGAATACACTCTTTTGTTGAAGGCCCCTAAGTCCTAGCTTATGTCTTTGTTGGTGCGGAATTAATGTTTTGGCCTATGTTACTCAGTGATAATGTTGCTATTTATTGATAAAAGATTTTTTATATTTACCTAGTAGATTTTGAGATATTTTAATACATACAAAAATACAAATCTTTCCTCTTTATAATATTAGTATTAGTACTTTGTACTCTTCTCTCTCTTTCCCATTAGGCCAAATAATCAATGGGGAAACACTCCTTGTAGCTTTCATAGTACTTAAATGATCACTAAATCTATGCTATAGACTATTTTACAAAAAAGTTGAAGTATAATTATAAATATATTGTCCGATTTGAAATTAGTAAAAATGTCACATCTCTATTCTATACAGATACTAGAAAACAGGTTTTACAACAAGTTCTAAACTTAATTATATTTAAGTAAATCAAGTTTGGCAAATGCTGACTGATAAGAATTTATCCTGCACCTTTATAATACAAGAATTAAATTCATTATATCACTAGAAGAATTAAAAACTTACAAGTTGTATTATTTTATATGAGCAAGCAGCCATCTGAATTTGGAAGACTATAAAAGTAAAGGCTGCCCATAGACATCTATTTGTACAGATGTGTTGCCTAGCCTTAATTGACAGAGAAGGGGGTAGGGGGTACATAGAATGGAGATATTCCCTTCTTATGCATGCCCACCTCGGTTAAGAGTTAATTTAAAAAGTAACCTTTAGAGATCTCTACAAATATTATAAAGTGTAAGCACACAATACTTTGTGGCGAAGGATGTCAGCAATCACAGCATATTTTTAAATAATTCTTTCTTGAAAAGAAAGTCCTACACCTATGGCATGCTTTAAGCTATATACTTTCACTCTATTAAACTTAGGGGGCAAATAGATTTGTAAAAAAACCTTAATGTGGAAAGGGACCATAAACTACAAGCTAATATTATGAAAGCAAGGTAATTATGGTAATGGTAATTTTGACATTTGCAATTGAAAATTTTACAAATCTAAACAACAAAATAAAGTTTTTATAATTCCATGCAGATGAAAATTCATGGGAACAGCTGGTTATCATATAAAGTCTATATTAAATCTGTAATTTATCTGATCACAAGGTACTCTTTTGTGAAATAGATGTTATAGGCAGTACTCTATAAATTAACAAATTAAATTGTTCGGTACTGCCCTACAAATCATATGGGATTACCACACACTACATTTAGTATAAAAGCTTTTTATTTTGCTATCTATCTTCTTTGTTTATTTGCTCTATCACCTTTTGGATTATAAGGTTAACAAATACAGTTTAAAAATACAAATGCATCAATCAACATAGATTACATTTTTTAAATATTAAGTTTTCAAATACAAACATCATTTCTATCGTTTATTCATAAAGTTTACATGCAATTTAGGTCCATTATTTACAAAATGTTTGCTAACTCACGATGTTTGATGTTAAAATTACGGAAAGTGCACTTTTATATATAACATTCCAAGTTGACACGGCCTTCGCAGGCGATCTCAAGAGGAAGCCGAGAAGCCAAAGAAGGTAATTGGATAATCCGTCAACGGCTTTTCATGCAGAATCTACATGGGAATGCCTCCTGTCAAATAGGTCACTGAACTGAGGTACGCAAATTTTCGTTGTAACGCAAGAATATATACTCACTTTATCTTCCCACCGCAATGCTGACATTCTGGACCCTGCCAGCCTTCGAAGCATACACAAGTCTCGTTCCTACATTCACCGTTTATACAGTTATGTTCACTACACCTAGATAGAACATCATGACAAAACAATAACACTATGAGCACTGAACACAAGAACGGTGAGAACCATGAGTATTTTCGTCTGTATTTCGATTTGAAGAGGAATAAGAACATTTGTAGAGATTCTACCATTTTGATGTATGCATTTTCAACGAGTTTTGTTAGCTTATCGCGGACTTAAAAGCGGCCGTGCGTCGTGTAGTTTCCGTACGGTACTAAATTTAGTGTTGTCATATCAATGTTCAAAATTAACCATTTAAAAAAGCGAACACAATACAGCAGATGAGGGATTTTTAAGATGTTTTTAAGATTCATTAACTAACAATAAGCTCTTATAAGAAATAGCAACATTCATGTCTGAAGTAATTAACGGTTTTGCAATCTGTTGTTTCTAAAGTGAGGTTTTTATGTATTCATTGTAAGCATCTTCAGTTCTAAAATACAATAATTTCAATCTAACGATTAAAAATAGATTACAAGAGTTGTTTTAATTGGAAACCTGAAAGTGTATAGTGCCTTGTTAACAGGGAAGTTCACGTTAATTGTAACACCGGATTTGACATCTATTCATTACCCTATTTAAAAATAATTATAACTGTCTTCAAGTTTTATTTACGAATGCTCCTTTCAAAATAAAAACCAATAAAACCCCAATTAACAACTGTTTTATAACTATTTTAGTTTAAATTATGTAGTGATCTGATTGTACATAACTTCTTAGATTATCACAAATCGGTATCTAATAGTTTTTCGCAATCTTCGAAGATAGAGAATTTTACACCCTCAAGAAGAAATGCCAGTCCGAACGTTTGTATCTTTTAGTAAAAGAGAATATGGGGACAGAAAAGTAGAACCAATAAGTTGTGTGCTATAAAGTGATGCTGCTTTAAAGAAAAGTAGGTATTAAATTAATATTTACTAATGGCAATGTTACTGTCATAACAAACGCCAAAATAGTTTGTTTTTAAAGTCGTGTCAAATGTTTACAATATTTAAGTACTTAATTTAACATGAAAATAATTGAAAAAAATACGTTAAAGACCTGGTAACCAAAGCCAGAGAACGCTACGATTATAGTTGTGTTAAGTTAGGTTGTTAAGTTAAGTTGTGTTGTGTTAAGTATGTAGAAACTTTGTTGAAAATAAAGTGGGATTTTGTACTTATGGTGGCTGGTAAGAACCAATTTTCATTACTGTTCGACAACTTTATTTCGTATGGACATAATATTAATAATTTTGAGATTATTATACAAGTCAAATTAATGTTGAGTAGTAGTAATAGTAGTAGCAGAAGTGGTAGTACAAAAAATTAAAACACGAAAAAATGCGGGGGTATTTTGAAATTTCCCGATGACTGATCACGTCATGTAATTGAATGTACTAAATATGTGTATATAAGGATTTGCTAAGTGTTTTCCATTTATTTCATAAGTGATTATAAGGTATTGATTTCCTGTAAATCAAAACTTCGTACAATACGAGTGATATTTTATCATACAGTTCTTTCTTTGAAATGTAGATGGCGCTAGTTTGATTGATTTTGTTTAATATAATTCTACTTAAAGGAATTTCAGTGTACTAAAATTAATGTAATTTTAGCTCTTGTTCACTTGCTCTTGAAATGTGCGCATTTTTAGTTTCATTCGGTTTTAGCTTGATTTCGTCTAGAATATAACAGCGCCATCTAGTAACTCGGTAAAAAAGAAATGACGGCATTTCATTCTTTACTGCTGTATATGAAATTTGTTAATTTATGCAAAAATAAGATTAAAAATCATTGCTATTAAAATCTGAACTAGTTTAAAATTATAATCTTGCTCTATGGAACGTTTACATAGATACAATACTAGATGGCGCTAAAAGCAAATAGGGTCCCAAGAAATTAAATGCGACGCTTTTTTGCTGATAGTATTTATTGCTAATAAGCAAACAGTGTTTACTTATAAACATTTTGGGTTCATAAATTTTGTTCATATATCTTCACAGATATTTTTGTCACCATGTTTATATATGCACCCCTATAGTTATTAGTTACGGCTGAACGTGGAAGACGTACTTATCGAATTTGGTCTGAATACTTCGGTCTTCGGAATTTGCATGGTGCATAATTCTGGCTATCGGTTCTAAGAGGGCGTCTTCCGATTGTGGGTTGTTGAAACAATTCACTAGATGTCGCTTTAAAATAATATAAGATTAGGGTACCGGGATGGTTATCTGTAAACTGCAGTCCATCAATATGGGTTAAGTTTAGAATAGCATACAAATAAGTAAGATAAATCTTACTAATATTATAAATGCGAAAGTTTAGATGAATCGATGTTTCAGTGTGTCGCCTTAAAGGCTGATCTACTTTTGTTTTTTTTTTTAATTCCACGTGGACGGATCCGCAGGCGAAAGCATGTATTCGATGTAATAGATGTTAGGAATCTATAGGGTACAAATCTATGGCGATTATGTTCAAACGTTGCGATTTCATTATAAATAATTTATAAACATGTCTTGATTTTCGATAATATATAATTCACATCATAAATTGTACTACAATAAGAGACATTTAAAACAAAAGTAGTAAAATAAAACTTCAATCATTTCTCTACAATCTTCACATTAAAGTTGAACGGAGTGTAAGAAACTCTCGGAGCAGAAGCCACTTCCTCGTTCTTTACAAAAGAAAAATAACGTCATCAAGTGTTGTTCTTTTCTTTATTGTAACAATGTTTTTCTTTTAATAACATTGTTATTACTATCAATATATGATTATGTATAATAAATTAGAAGATTAGAAAAAAAACAAAAGAGATCTTAGCTCTCTATTGGATTGTCTTAAGATTGTATGGAATACGATGAAAGGAATGTTTTTTTCTAATAAACGCAGCGTATCTTTTATTTCTTAATAGTACATTTATCTTTATCATCACAACAAAGTTTTTTTTTTTTAATTCTTTATTTCCAAAAAAAATACATAAGTAAGACATAAGTCATTCCCGCCAAACCACTTACGTGGTTTATAGGCGTCGCACCTTTAAATCATTTACACTTTAGAATGCAAAATTACAATGAAATAAAGAAAAACATAGTGTACAAATCAAATGAAAAACAAAAAAAAAATATAAGTAGTAAATACAGCAGAAAGACCTTAACTTATATATATAATAACCGACTTCTTAGTGTATATCTATTTTATACAAAACGATTTAATGGAAAAATTTTCTTATGATCTCGTCAATGGAAACCAACGTCAAGATTTGTATTTATCCCACTCACTTAGGGTCAACGTACTGAGTTTTTATTCTCTTTATAAATATATCTTCCTTCATTCGTCACGTTTTTGTAGATGTATTTTTTTGTTACTGCAATCGTATTAAAATTAAAAAAAAAAAAACATAAAACCTATGTATTGCTATAGGTACGTTATGTAACATTCGGGTATAGAAGTACATCAAATAATAATTTATTCTGGTGGCAAAACTCAAGGAGAAAAAAGGTCTTATGGGCGGCCCTAAATTGACGGTAGGTTGGCCCCTAACCCACTTTAACCAATCCGCATTAGGACCATATGATGAACGACCTGTTTTTTTTACCCTCGTCCGTAAAATCGTCTCGTATTGTGATTTGCAAAGGTTCAGGTTTTAGTTTTTTTGGCCTTCTAACTGCTAAGGTGGGTAATAATTAGGGCGTTTACCTTAGAAGGCTTTGAAAACAGTGTTAGGCGTGGTTTGATTTTTTTGCAAATTAAATTAAGGGTCTCAGGAGCCTTGAATGCCAGCAGCCAGCAAGAGTTAAATAAACTTCCTATAAGCATTTTAAATAGATTACTATTTTGTAAAAACCTACGCTCAAGTTGATTTATATGTTTTTTAGTTGACTTTATTAGGATGAATGTTAATAATTTTGTGAATCATGTGAACTGTCAAATTAAAAAAAAACAAGCGGGGCACAGACTAAAAAACGCCCAATTCGGATTTTTCGAATTTCGAACGCTCGTACGAAAGCGTCTGTACGCATGCAGCTGCGTTGGCCAAGGTCAGTGCTATTGTCCCAGCGGAGGGCAATGCCCAAACTGCACGCGGCGAAAAATACACGCACACACACAAGCGCGCGTGCATCGCAAGAGCTGTGGTCGTGCCGCCGACAAAAAAGTATCCGAATTGCGCGGCATAGACTATGAAAACATGATTTTGTTTTTGTCCGAAATCCTTGTAGTTCTAAACTGCCAGTGTTTCATCTTAATTTTGGACTTTTTGAATTGACATCGTCGTCATTTAATGTCAAAGTAAAACATATAAAAAAACTTAAAAATGCATTCCCAAACATATGTTTGATATCTTAATTTAGGATAAAAAAAATAGTCTTGATTGAAATTGAAATCAAAAGTTCGATGTATGTAAAGTGTGAAATAATTTATTAATCTGTCTACGTTATTTAATCTTTGACGGATGCATTTACAAACAAAAATACGAGGAGCGGCCAAAGTACCCGAATTGCATCGAACGCACACAAGCTTGTGCACCAACACAGCGACGGTAAGTCAAGAGCAACTGAGTAAGGTCATGGTAACTCTTTTGGCCGTTGATTCGGCCGTTTTCGGTGGACTTCGTAGTCGCCTGCGCTCGAGTTTGTTCTCTTTTTATATGCCAATTCTGGTCTTTTGTAGCTTGTCGTGAATTTTTGACGTAATATATGTTCGTGTTTATATTTATATAAATTTACATTCATGTTTACGGATACATAATCATCTCATTATTCGAATTTCTCATGGACATTCTATCGTTTTTTATAGGATGAGTTATTTAAAAATATGACCATGCTTGAAAAAAAATATATAGCCTTATTACTTGAGGAATATAAATAGGGTTTTTAATTCCTCTGGCTGAGTGGTCCAAATATTAATTTTGTGGTATAACAGAGTATAATAAAATGAACGTTCACGAAGAAAATGTCCGCCAAATTGTAGCCGCCGGGGCCCAGTTGTTTTCTTCTTTTGTCGCGTACGATATTATTTCGTCGACGCCATCTTTGCCTTTTCAATTTTAATAAAACCTTGACCTTGGAAACAAGTGCTCCGGTAACAAAGGCACAGTCAATTCCAAATTTGAAAAGGCAAAATTTAAAAATCGAATTCATGCTGTTATTTGTGGTTTTTTAAAAACGCCTCGAGCTCGACTATGTTTGGGAACTCTTTCGATGTTTTTTTTTGTGACCTGTTT